TCACACACACACGCTCACACACACACGCTCACACACACATAATAACAGGGAGATCCTAAATACACAGTGTGCACAGTCACAGTTACACACTTTCTCTCTGGATCTGCCCCACACACACACGCCCATTAAATCCATTAAGTGATCATGAGCAAACAAATAGCACAAACAGCTTGAGGAAAGATTGCAAACCTAGTAAAAAAATAAATAAACCGTGGGGCGAGGAGAACCAGGACCGAGCCAAGAAACAATAAGGATCTGAAGTCTGCAGCCAAGAAGGCCACAGAAATGTTTACGACTCACATTAGGGTTCAGGCTCAGTCATTATAGGAGGAGGTGCTCATTAGAGCCACTTGTGGGAGGAAACAAATAGCCCTCTGTGACTCACATGCTAGCTGAAACGCTAAAGATTCAAAACAAAAGTATAAAAAAAAGTTGCGGCTGCAGTTGGCAGAGAAAACACGCAACGTTATCTTGGACAGATATCTGTGACCTTGAGAGGCAGTAATTGAGCGGAAAGGGGATGTAAAACATCCGCTGGTGGGTTTTAGTGTGTCTGTGTATACAATCACACACACACACAGCAGCAGTGGCAGTTCCAGGCTGGCCTCTATCTGGCATTATCTCATAGCCTGAGCACTCCCGCTCCTCTGAGGCCGCACACAGAAGCATTACGCGCATCTGCCTCGCATTAATCGGCAAATTATGGACAAGCTGCCCCTCAGAGGACGTGACACAAGGTGGTGGGCTGCTCTGAAGATGCATCTTTTGGTTGGAAAAAACTTGTTTTTTGTTCACTGAGAACATAAATATCTATATTTGTGCTTTAAATATTTATTTAAAAAAAAAGGTAAGTTTTGTGCTGCTAAACTGAGCAGTRAAGATAAGAGCATGAAGGCCCCACTTCAGGTTCACAGCTGTCTGCTTTCACCAGAGAAAGGGGGGTCAGGACACAACGGTGACCATGGAGACCATTCAGAGGAAGAGCCAGCGCAACCAAAGGCAGCTAATAAGAAATTCACATGRCCTCATCCCAGTGCAGGTGGCTTTTGTGGAGTTTTTTTTAAAACTGACTGCTAGGTGGAAACAATTAGCTTCCAATTAGTGGTGCAAAAAATAACAGATATCAATAAGATGTTTCTTCTTTCTGCTACCTTTCATTTTATTTGTGTTGCATTATTATTTGTTGTATGTACAGTATTTGTTTTGTTTTAAAGGGATCCATGATTAGTTGAAACATTAGACTTTATTTGATAAACATTTATTTTAACTGTAAAATAAAGACATTTTATCATCATTTACCCAGAATGCTTTGTGTGGAAATAAAATGCCTCTGTCCGTGTTAAAATATATTTTTTAA